AATACAAAAAGATGACAATGAGCCAGATTATATATATAAACAACATAGTAATAATCTCAAAACTAAGCTACATGCTTTAGCTAATGAAGATTTCAGAAAAAAGAATATATAAAATACATCAATCAATGATTTGTCTAGCAAAGCAGAAAAGCAATTTACAAAGAACATTAGAAAATTGCATAATAGAATATAAAGATCTCAGTAGATATAGAACATTACAACAAGAGCTAGTAATAAAGCAAGTGAATGGTTTGCTAGAAAGATTAAACAAACAAGATAACTTAAGACAGCTAACAAAGCTAAGAATAACACAAAGCTGTCAAAAAGCAGGCCTGACAAAAGATATTTGGAAACTAAAAGAGATGCCAGCTAATATTAGATGTTGGAAGAATAATCTAGCATATTTAATAATAATAAAAGCAAGAAAATGAGAAATAAATATAAGAACTGAAAGTAACTTATAGAGAACTTTTGAATATGATTTCAAAATACAAAAGCTTTTAGAAACATGTTTGTGAAAAAAAGTAGAACTAAAATAAGTGAAACAGGCCTAATATACTTAAATCAACTGCTCAACACAAAAGATGAAAGTCTAATTACATAGCAACAGTTTAAAAACTATCTTGAGCAGTCAAGCAAAGGCAAAAAAGCTAAATGGTTTAAAGAAATAAAGCTAAAAGTACTCAAAAGAACACTAAATAGAGAAGTTTAAGAATGTTTTAAAATGAACAGATCTAATACTCAAATAAAGAAGATAGAGTAGAAGTATATATCAAAAGATAAAAGGAAAAAAGAATGAATAATATATAGTGCACAAGACTGCAGGCAGCTAGGAAAGATAGTAACAAAGAAAAAGAAAAAAATTTTAGTAGAACACTGGCAAATGCAAGACAAAGAAAATGAATTAGTAACAGAAATTAGCAAATGTAACAATTGTACAGAAGAAGAAGAACAAATAGAAGGCAGCTGCCAGCAATAGATAAGATTAAACAACAAAATTAGAGTAATTTCTGATACATCAATAGAGAAGAGTAACAACAAGATCAAGTTGGCATTAGACCAATTAACAGAAAAAGTGGAAATAGAAAAGTTAAAAGATAATAAGCAAAAAATTTATAGATTCTATAATGATAAAAAAGCTAGAACTAGAGATAATCAAGCAACAAAATCTTGATAAAAATGTTAATCAAGAAATCATAAAGATACTAAGAAGAAACTTAACAAGAAACAAGAGCAAATTTGTTATATACACAAACAGTGCAACAAGTGCAAAGACCAGATAGGAATTACTAACTCAGAATATGGGTATAGGATGGATTCAGACAAATAAGATACAAGAATGGCCAGAGGAAGAAATATTACTAGGGCTAGAAGAATAGATGACATTAACAATTGCAGAATTAGTAGCAATATGAACAGCAATTCTAACAATACCAAAAGAGAGACAAGTAGTAATATATACAAACAGTAATGCTGCAATAAGGAATATTAGTAGAGGTTTAGAGCAGATAGATAAAATAAAAATTCTTAAGAAAAAAAATGCAATATAGATAATGAAGATTATAGATTTTATTAACATGAAAAAGATACAAATAGAGTTAATGAAAGTCAAAAGTTATAACAAGAACAAATAGAACAACAAAGCTGATAGTCTCGCAAAAAAGGAAACAACAAGTAAGAAAGTAATACAGATAGAAAAAGTTAGTTGTAAAGAGATAGAGTACTGCCTAAAGTAGGAAAACAAATGAACTGACATCCTAGCAAGACTGTTATGCAAATTGGTAATGAATATAAGATTAGGAGCAGAATAGAGAGAAACAAATGCAATTAAAAAGTTAGAGCCAAAAACAGAAATTGTGATTTATGATTGGACACAATTCCAAAAAAAACTTAAAGCAACTAAAGGGATACACAGCACAATAAAAAGAAGTAGTACAGGAAGATGTGTATTTATCAAATGTATAATAGATAAACTTCCAATCTTAGAAAAACTTAACAGAAGATGACCAGATATATACACAATGACAAAATATCAAATATATCAAAATAAAGTTAAAGAAATATAGTTATACTTGGCATCATGCAAAGGACAAGCAAATCACTGAAAACAAATCCAAAAAGTGACCATTACAACAGCCTGGAAGGGTTGAAAGAAAAAGAAAAAACTCACATTTTGCTATATGTACTATATACAGCACTTTTTAGAAAAAGTGAAGCAGAAGAAATAGAAATGAGAAAAGCTTTAATCAAAGACCAAATTTTAGAAAAGACACAAAAAAGATTAACATAGCTCCTAAATACCAAAGTGAAATAGCAGTTTATAGAGAGAGTAACAAAGACAGCATGAAACACATTCTATGAACAGGTTTGAAAGATATAGTGTGAAAAGATTAATAAATGAAAGAAGAAAGAAGGCATAATAACCAAAATGAAGAAAAATAAAGTTAAAAGAAAGGATCCAAAAAAGAAAAGAAAGGCAAATTAGCAAAAGATCGAAGAAGAAAGGAAACTAGCAAAAAAGAAAAAGAATAGGATCAATAAAGAAACTAGAAAAACAATATTAGGACTTGTTATGAAAGAAAAAAGACCATTCCATTATGAACTTTAAGTAGTCAGACAAGTAGCCTACTTCTGCTTTAAGTAGTGCAGCAGGTTGCACTTAGGTACCTCTTAGATAGCTGAGTAATGCTAGACTTAGTTGTTAGATAAATCTATGTAATTGCAAAAGTAATTTCAAGAATCTTAATAAAGTACTAATGTAACTGCTTAAGTTTAAAAAAAAATAAAAATAAAAATAAGTAGCAAATAATGCAGAAGATTTCAAATATAGAATTTAGCAATATTTTTTAAAACTTTAAATTAATTTACAATATTTTGCAATATTTTAAATCATTTTAAATAATCGTTAATTTTAGATATAAGAAATTTTTCAAAAGTATGCAAATATATTAAAAATTTATCAAGATAATCTAGATATTTTAGAAATTATTTTATTAAATTGAATATATTTTTTTACAAGCTAGATAAACTTTAATGTAAAGCTTTTGCATATTATAAAAGTTTAATTTTATTTAAAAATTTTTACAAGTATGCAAATATTATTAAAGCTTCTCAAATTTGATTTATTTTCACTTATTCTTTATTTTTAATTATTTTGTGATTACAATTTTAAAAAATTTTTGCAATATTTCAAATTATTTTAACACTTTGTAATATTCTTGCATATAAATATAGTGATAATAAAGATAATTTAAAATAAATATACTATATTATTATATACTTAAAGATTTATTTTATTAAATAATTTAAATTAATAAACTTTCTGCTATTAGTTAAAATTTTATTTAAAATTAATTTTACTATATTATAATTAAATATTAATTCTATTATTATTTTTTTATTTTAATGAACTTTGAAATATTTTAAATAATTTTGAAATAATTTGAAATATTTTGCATTCTTCAAATAATTTCTAAATTTATTTCTCACTATTTTGTCTTCTACATATTTAGATTATATTTTGAAATATTTTCACTGCATAATAATTTTGAAAATTTTTTTTACAATATTGCAATAATTTTAAAATTTACAGATACTATGCACACTACAATTTTTTTTCAAGAATCTTTAGTTTAATAGAATTTAAATAGAAATATAAGTTTTTGTGCTATGCAAATTCTTTTAAAATATTTCATATCTATAATTTTGCTAATGTAGTTTGTTGCATAAGATCTGTTTCATATTTATAATTTCTTTCATTAATTTTTGCTAAAAGTTAATTTTTTGTCATATTATTATCAAACATTTTTTCTGACAACAAATTATATATAAAATTGTAAAATTTTGATATTTTTATAATAAAATTTTATATAATAGATTGATAAGAACTTGATGTTTATTTATAGTTAAATAATTTAATGATAAATATATATAATATAATGCATAGTTTATTATTTATTTAAAGTTTTCTTTATTTATAATGTATCTAAATCAAATAATTAGATTTAAACATATCGTAAATAAAGAAAACTAATTAAAATATACAAAATAAATTATTTTTACATTTTATGAGAATCTAAAAAATTAATAATTCTATTTAAGTTTTTATTAAATAGAATTTTCTTCATTTTAACTTCAACTTGTTCTTTAATTAATTCAAGGTTCATATTATGAACCTTATAAACATATATTCAAAAAACAAAAAAAAATTAAAAATATAAAAAAAATAAATTAATAAATTAAAAGATGTTTTTACAACATTTTTATTGAGTTTTTGAGTAAATAAATTTTATTTTCATATTAAGTAAATTCATTTGTTACTTTTTTTAAAAGATAATTTACATCTAAAAATAAAATACATATTTAATAAATATTAAATTTTTAATAAATAATTTATAAATTATACCTTCTGATAAAGCAATAACTTCTTTAGTAATCATTTTAACTTGTTTGATTACTGGAACAACTGTTGGATAAAAAGTAGTCATTTTGTTATAATTGTTGTTAAAATTTTTTAATAAAAATTTTGTTTTTTATAAAATTTTTATACTAATTTTTGAAAGAAATATTAATGTTTAAATACCTGATACTTGTAATTTATTGTAAGAAGAAGTCAAGTCTTCATAAATATTTTATTGATTATTCCTGTCAGATAATATAGACATGATTGTAATAAAAATATTTCAATAGGTGTAAAATTGTAAGTATAATATAAACAATCAAATTAGTGTTTTGATAAGAATAAATTTGTAACTATTAATTTTATTTGTACTTTTAAATAATAAGTTTAAAAAATTATTACATACATAGAACATTCAAATTTAAAAATCATTTCTAATATTAGTTAACAAGATTGAATTAAAAGTATTGATAAGAATTATTTTTAGTAAATGATAATTATATAATTTTTTTTTAATAGTAATCTATATTTGTATAATAATCATTTATATAAACTGTTGATTTACAAAAAATTTTTACTTCACTTGTTTTACTCTTTTGATGACTACACATTTCATTAACTAGAGCCTCTAATTAGTAGTTTAAACTATTCTAGAGGATTTCTACTAAATTTTAGTAGTTTAAACTATTCTAAAGAATTTCTACTAATTCATACATAAAATTTTTAATGATATAGTAGAGAAGAGTAAACTCATCAATTTTTTTTATAATTCTTTCTAAAATCTAATAAAAATGTAGTTAGTATCCTAGTGCAATTTTTGCTATAAACTATGATAATTATTGTTAGTAATGCAATTTAAGTTGGCTATTTGAATGAAGTTTCTTTGTAACTACTATAAACAGTTAATATTTTTGTACATTTTGTATTAAAAATAAAAGATCCAGTCCAGAAGCTTTACTCTGAATTCATTTAATTTTAAGATACCTAGCTCTCAAATAACTTAAAAAACAGTTTTTTTATAATTTTTAATAATAAAACTAAGTAAGTTTGCTTTTTTTCTTTTGAATTTTGAGCAAAAAATTATCAAAGAGATAAAACTTTTATGGGTTGAGGGCCATTTTATCTCTCTTCTTAAAAAGATAAAGCTTAAAATTCATTTATTTTGGTTCTATGGTTCAAACTTGCTCATAGTAGAACTGCATATTAAATTTTAAATTTTAATGACTAATTGAACCAAATTTTTATAGTTAATTTTTTACTTGTATTTTTTTATAATTTTGATTAATAAATAATTTAAATAAATAAATTTAATTGGTTAAAATTTTTTTAAATCTAATACTCAGAAAAATTAAAATTGTATAAATTAACAAAAGTTCTATAATTGAAAATTAAAAAATATATATTTATTAGAAGAAGAGACTAATAAGTTACCTTGAAAAAAAATATTTGATTTATTCAAAGTATTGTCAGCTTGAAACAAATTACCAGTTATCAAACCAAGATTAAAATCAAATTCATATCAATTAATTAAAATAGATACAATACTTTTCAATAAAATATTAATACAAAAACTAGATATTACATTCTTAACTGATCTTGATAATTTCAATTTAATTAAAAATTATACATGATATTGTTAAAAAAATGGAAATATATTTTATATTAGAACTAGATATAGTAATAAAATTTTAATTAGTTTATTCAAAATAGAAATTAATTAATCATATTAACAGAATTGGACTTGATAATTACAAAAATAATTTACAAGAAACAACTAAAAAAAAAAAATGCATTAAATTGTAGATTATATAAAACAAATAATAGTGGCTATAATAGAATTTCATTCAATAAAACCAAAAATATATGGTGTTTTAGTTGGTTTAAAAATAACAAAAAAAAACAAAAATGAGTTTATATTAATAAAAAAAGAATTAATAAACAAGCAAAAAAATTAATTTTAAAATTTAAACTAGTTTATGGTCAAAAAACAGGTAATCGAAATATATATAATATATAATTATTTATTTTAAACATTTAATAAAATTTGTCTATAAATTATTTTTATTTTTTTGTTACCACATATGTTTTAATAAAAATGTTTGAATAAATTTCTTATTTTTACTTTAACATGATAAATTAAGTTTTAATATATTCTACATTTCTTTGATATTATTTGTATGGATTTTTATTTTTTTTAATTGACAATTATTTTTACTATGGTTTACTTTTTTATGTTTTAATTCATATTTGTTAATACTTTAATATTCTAGCTATGAATCACTATAAATAGCAGAACTTTTTTTAATATGTTTTTTTATAATTTCATGTAATGTTTCTTTATTTCAGTTTTTTACTATTTTAAAATAACATTTTTTTGACTATTTTTTGTTTGTTCTATCATTCAAATACCCAAAAGTTTTCAAATTTACTTTCATTTACTTACCAATTTTGTATTTATTACCTAATAAAAAGTTATCTTCAGTTAAAGAATTGATAATTTTTTGTTAAAATAACTTAACAAATTTGATTACAGTTTTTTGTGAAATTCTAATAATATTACATAATGTCTTAGTTTTAATTCGATTAATAAAAAAATATCCAATTAAAAGAATATATGATAAAATTAAATTTGAATTAAAAAAAAATATTATTTTTAAAAATTATACCATTTTTATAACAAGTTTTATTTTTACAAAATAAAATTATATTGTAAAAATAAATTTTTAATTATCACATTAAACATTTTTCAGAAATTTGAATAATGTTTGCTTTAATTAAATGTTCAATAGTTTTTGTTCTATTACAAAAAATATTGTTTAATTTAAATTTTTTTTTTCCTTTAAGAATGATCTCACCTGTGTGTCTTTTTATTATTATTATTATTATTTTTTTTTTTAAGTTAAAGTCCCTCTCTTGGGAGTTGCGATGTTTTTATTCAAGTATATTAGGACATGGTGTGCCACCAAGGGCGCACCT